CCAGACACTTACATGTAGGCCTCCGAAAATCAATAGGGAGGGGGGGGGGGGGGTGGGCTCATGCCATATTTTCAATGGGGAGCACCAATAAAATCCTAAAATCATTCACAATATATATTAACTAATGCACCCTTGTCACGGCTATTTCTTCTTTAGGGGGAGACCGTTCGCATGTACATCACAATCATTCTTTTTGCTAATGCAATTTTTTTTACGGAATTTATTTTGGGGGGGCTAGACGAAATTTTTGGGGGGCTACAGCCCCCCCCCCCCCCCCGTAAAACCGCGCCTGTATTTCTCGCGTCTTAAATGAGTTCATTATGGATGATTTAAAAACAGAATCAATTTTTCAATTTGCCGATTATTATCCATTTGTTGTACACCCTATCAGATTCAAAAGGAATCAATATTTAGAATTGTAAGTATTCTTTTAAATTTCACTATACTACTTGTGATCATATTGTGATAAAAGTGTCCAATACATTTCATGACAAATGGTTACACCCCTGTTCCTACAAATTAAACCATTCATTAATGATGTCATAGACTAGGCCAGCAGTACACATTTCAGACATGAATTGTTTGGATATCTAATTTATTAACGTTGTCTCAAGGAATGAAGGGGATGCATGATTAAGTCAGTCTAATCATAAAAAAACAATGTGAAGACAAAAGTTTCCCATCATGAAAATCTGATTAATGACTAGTAATACATGAATATTTATATGGTGATAAAATTATTATTTCTTTAGAAACAACAAGGTATATGCTCTTACGAAAACCATTGTCTCTCACACTGTATGAAATGGCAAACTCGTCTGGTTTTTAGGAAGTAAAAGATTAAGAAGGTGGATATGTTGTCAAATTATCCAGGTTGACTTGTCCTAACTAAAGTCTCCTAAGTCATGATGAAAGTTGCTTTATTTCACTTTAAAATGAGAGGAATAAAAATGTTTCACGAAAAAAAAAATTCCGACAGTATTCTCAGACGGTATGCTCTGGCTTCTTCCATTTGTCCCTATAAACATTCTAAGCTTCTCTGTACATTGAGATGGGTCCCTTTGATTGGCCGAGCCAAATGTCCAAATTCAACTAGCCTTGGATCCAAGTTGAAATTTAGAATACGCCACCAGAATTCTAAGACAATGAGTGATTTTCTTTGAATTCAGGAATTGCCAAAAAAAAAGGTTTGGTGTTTTTGGCTTAAATTACAAGAGAAGAAATGTTCAAGTTTTGCTGCACATTTTTTTTAAATGAAATCGCTCACTGTAAGGTAATTAATGTAAGGTCTCACTAAGTAAGACAGTCACACCACTTTCTTGGTCTAGATCCAAGTCAGAATTTGGGATTATTATTGGTAGAAACGTAATAACAAACAAGTAAAATGATGATGACATTAGGTAGCTCTAAGAATACAATCATTTACCCAAATTGAATATATATGTACTTTTAACACATTGTTGCATCCAAAGAAGTTCTTAAGAAATGTCAAGTTACATGTGTGATAATTTACAGAATGGGTTTCAAGTTAATACAAAAAGTCTTCTGTTTCTTAGGCCAAAAAAAAAAAGTCTCCGGTTTCTGTAGCCATGCGCGTTGGCAAAATGAAAAAGTTGTTTTTTTTTTCAATGAAAGATGATGTCTCAAAACCGCCAAACTCACTGGTTTGCATGGAATCCTGCTGCTGCACAATTTTAACGTGTTTTTAGATGGGGGTTATGATCGAGAATAACCTTAAGTGGCCTCTCTGGACTTCCATATATTTGCACTGAGTTTAGTCGGGCACCATTTGCAGTCATCAGCCGACATTTGAAGCAAAAAAAACAGGTAAAAAAAAAAAGCCGCGTCGCCGCACCGCTTTTTGGGCAAGCTCCATACCAGAAACCTGAGTCTTTTTTTTTGGCCTTACCTTTAACCCTTGTTTATATCGTCACCATTTTGTGACTTACCTGCGTTCACCGATCTGCAAAACCGAGTTTTGAGAAATTCATATTGAAAGTTAGTCAATTTCTTTTCAAATTGCGTTTTCATAGACATTTCTCTCCCAAAACCAAAAAATATATAACTGATGCGATAGCCCATTACTGGAATAGCCCAAAATTGTCTTCATTTTCACAAAAGCACGTTAAATTTGAAGACGTAAAGAATATTTATCACTTTGTCAAAACTGAAATGTTACTTGGTCACACGTACATAGCATTGTGTTTGTACACAGATTTGTCACGTATAAAAGTTATACATTTAAGAACGCAGATTTGTCACTTTATCAAAATGCAAATTTGTACAGGCTACATAAATTGAAATATAATACAAAACTCAACGAGACTTTGTGACAAATAGACATTCATCACTTCATCAAAACGAAAAACAAATATAAGTTGACGCACATTCACCACTTTGTGTAATTAGCATAAGGAACAAACAATGCAATTTTATGTCTTAAAATTTTGTAATTATGCAGAAGATATCGTAAAATGTTAGAATATCCAAAAATCTGAAATTGCTTAAAATCTCAGTTTTGGGTAGATTTGTCACTTCGTCAAATTGGCGATGATATGTTCCGATAAATTGTTACAATTTTACTGTATTCAAATCAACAAAAGCTTGACTTTTTTTCTTTCCCTAAAAGAAAGCTTGGGTTGCTCATCAATTGAAACAGGAAGAGTAAAACCATTCTATGAATTGCTGCATTTTTTTTTACTGAGCATTTATCCAAGATTTATGAACCAGTGATAATCAGTATATCAAATTACTGCATTTCAAAGAAATCTGCAATTTATATGATATTTTGGGTTAAAAGGTCAATAATAAAATCAAGTAAATGTGAGCGTTACCGAGTTTTGTACACAATGTACATCCTTTCTATGTTTAGGATGGCTTAATGTCTATCACGGTTTAATTTCTCAAAAATTGAGAATGTTCTACCTCTTATTTTCCTCTCCTTAGAGTAAGATCATTGGTTGTAATATAATTTTATTTGTGACAACTTGTGTATGAACAGTAGTAGGCAATGATAGTTCATTACAAGTGTTATACAATGTAAGTGGATTATGTATAATTGTACAATGGAATTTGACCTGACTTCCAAGATGAGTGCTGCAATTTATGGCACTTGCAACTTATAACAATGGAAGTCTATGCTTATCTACCTATTTAATCCATTTCTTTACCCAGGGTATGCCCAAACAGTTTAAAACTGGTTTCTATTGGGGCCCTGCATACAATAAATAATGACTACAAAAATGTATAATTATACAATACATTACAAATACAATAAAATTCAATACAGTGAGACAAAACATTATTATGATTATGATTAACTGTCTGTGCTAACAGCTATTTCATGTAATTGGCAAAGAAGTTCTGCAGTAACCAACCAATGATTACTGAATCATTCAGTTTTCAGCAAACAAACAAATAGATTTGTATGTGAGCTAATTTACAGGAGGATACCTGTTTCCCAATTTTAGTTCTGATCTGAAAGGAGGTTTTGGATATTTTGGATACCCTGAGAATTTTAGTTTCAACAAAGCACGCATGAATATCACCGCGCAAAAAACTTATATGTCACCTTCAGTGCATCCCTCAAAAAATTGGTGAACCTCCAGGTGCCCCCTAGAAGCGTAACCCTAGTTACGCCGCTGGTACCTTTAGAAAGTTACAGGTGCTGATTGGTAAAATAACAGACTTGGGATCTTTGCTGAAATGCCATTGTGGTCATGGAAGCTGTGTTCTCTTGGAGAGATATTCTGTAATTAAAGCAAATGTTCATTGCTTCATTTAGACTACTTGGTCTATCAGCATTTAGCAAACCAATACTTATTCAAAAAAAACCAAAAGCCTCGATCATTTATGTAATTAACTAAACTATTATTGTAATGATACAGAACCTCTCACAAGTGGGTCATTCTATACATTTAGGGAACAAAGTCAGACATTTTTCTTGTCCCTGTAACCCCTGAATTTGTATCATTTGCCATTCAAGTGGCATTAAAAATGACGTCAAACTAATTAATATTTGTTGGGTAGGTCATTTGATTCAAAGAAGCATTCTTGGAGAAAGAGTACACACATAAAGGAGTGCATCTTCTATTACAAAATCGTAGATGCCAGACTTATAGGGACAGGAAAAACTGGACCCCAAATTCATAGAATGTTCCAAATGCATCTTCTATTGAAGTATTTAACAAATTATAAAAAATGTTTTTAAGAAAGGCAAAAAAAGAAAGAAAATTCAGTTTACAAATGTACATCCATCATACCAACCACATTTACAAACATCCATGTATCATTGCAGTAGAATGCACAAGGTTTTCATTTTCAACTTGGTTGTAAATGTAATGAAACTAATATTAATTTGATGAGGCACTCGGAAAGCACTGTGAAAGAGACAACCAAGGGATTGCATATGATTTACTTTTAAACTATCGCTTGAGTTCAAAATCACACGTATTTCATCCAGTTGCTTTTGAGTACATGGAGGTGCAAAATCTTTTTCATTCGAAAATAAGTTGCATTAATTTAAACTCAACAATTTTCCCAATAATTGAAAAATCGAATAACAAAATTTAAGGAAATATTTACATTTTTTACAGGAGTAGGGTTATATTTTATACTTGGAAAACACATCATGCATTGACTTCGTATTTGCTGAGACAAATCTGAGAAAATTGAACTAAATTGCCTTCCGTGGTAATACATGTGCCTTCCCCCTCATTGATAATACTTTCAAAATGTACAATTGCAAACAATGTGAAGGGTCATTCCTTTGCTCTCATTATTGGGCCACCAGATCTAGGATTTTATAGGAAGTAGGCTTAAAGTATAAGAGTCAACACATACAAGCACCAAAGACCTTAGAAATAAACCAAATATACAGTATTATCAAATGTTTTATTGAGGGAATGAACTTTAATGTTCTTTTTCAGAACAATGTTCGATGTCTTATCGAAGTATTTGGTGGATACGCTGGATAGCCCCAGTTTAATTTAATTCTGTCCTTACACTCGGTGATAGACCTGTACAGACCGTTGTGCAGCCACTACCAGATCACCACCTGATGTGAATGTGATGCCCCGTGGATAATCACATTCCTTGATCACACATCCAATGTACTTGCCATCAGGACTGTAATGCAGAACATCACCTGTTGGATCTCCATCCACAGCAACATAGATACTGCCATCACTGTCACAGCACACACCATTAGGGTGCCCTTCCTCCTGCATGTCTACTGAGAATACACTGTCACCATAGTAGTCTACACATACCAACCTTGTGTTAAATGCTGTTGTGTAGATGAGGTGGTGATTGTACATTGTCAGATAATTCTCTACATCTGGAGCAGGCAGTCTCCTGATGAGGGATCCATCTGGGTTGTGTAGAGATATCTCATCCTTGCCTTCATAACCCACTGCTATCAGATTGCTGTCATCCACTGCAAGGCATGCTGGTTGGCTGTCTGACCCTCTCCCTGGTGTGAACTGGTGGAGGAGCTGATGTTGCTTGTTGAAGACCTTGACTACTCGACCATCTAGAGCAAGGAGCTCGTCATCCTTGCTGACTGCAATACACCTTATATTATAAGTGAGGCTATTGATTGGTAGCCTTTGTGGGATAGGATGTGGTGTATGTTGACTATTGGTCAGTGATACTGTGAAAAATGTATTATTCCAATAGGCTAATACTATGTTATTGTCAGAGAGTGCTGACACATGTCGTATCTGTGTATTTACTAAGTTATTGACTTCGGTCTTTAGTTCCCATTTCTCCTTCTCACATGATCTTGCAGGTCTTGCTGATTGCTTTGCTGCAGCCTTTGGCTCTTCTTCCAGAATGAGTCTCCCAAGTGACCTCTCACCTTCTTCAAAGTCCATGAAAGTCAACTTGTCAGGAACTTGCTGTGGCTGTTTACCTGTCGATTCATTGAGGTTATGCAAAAGCTTCTGCTGAAGTTCAAGAATCTCATAGCAACTTGCTTGATTCTTAAGTTGTTTGACCTCCTCCAGCTTGTGCTCTGTCTGTGTCACCTCTTTGCTGTTGTTTGCTTGTGCAGCTTCAAACGTTGTGACTCTCTCTTGATAAATCCTGCCAGTCTCTTTTAACAGTTTCTGCTCCTCCTGTCGGATCATGGCAACCTCTTGGTCAGCTTTTTCTGAGATTTTCTTCTTGGTGTTTGCAAACATGGTGTCAAGTTTCTTGCGAGTTGTGCAAGTGTTCTCTATGGTGGTGTTCAGTTCTGTTTTACTCTTACTAACTTTCGAGACAAGTTCTTCAACTTTTTTCTTACACTTTCCAAAAGCCTCAGATAGGCCGATGAGGGAATGTTTTGGATTCCCATGATCAAGAACAGTACACATGAGGCATATGACTTGCTCACATGTGTTGCAGTAGACATTGAGATTCTGATCTGGATGCTTGCCACATTTGGGAACTTCATCTCTTAGTTTACTCTTGTAGACAATCTCTCCTGATCGAAGTTCAGCCAGTGTATAAATTTTGTGAGATTTCATAACAGTCATACGCCCATGAGCCTTTTGACATTCTTGACACAGGAAATGATCACAGTCCGTGCATCTTGACACAGCCTGATTCTCCTCATCACAGGCTTGGCATTTGATCTCTGACCCTTGACCTTCCAGTAGCTTTTCCTGCATTGTAACTTCCTCCACCAGGGCACTGAATGCAAAGTTATTAGGGAGATCAGCAACCCCAGACCCTTTCAACATGGTTTCACGTCTGCACAGAGGACATGTCAGCTTTGTACCACTAAGATCTTGGCTCTGTCTGAGGTCTTGAAGGCATTGCAGGCAAAAACTGTGCAAACAGTCCAGCAGTTTGGGCTGCCTGAAACGGTTGGTGCAGATGGAGCATTCCAGATGATCCACACTAATCTTTTCCAACACTGATTGAGCTGTAACACTAGATGCCATCCTGACTTCTTGAAGGATCAATTTTGTTTTAACCTAAGAATGGATAAAAGTGTCAAAGGTTGACATCAATCTATAAAATGATCTTATTAATCATCTCCAACATTGTTAACATGTTTTGCTTTCTCAGAATTTTGTGATACATAGTACGTTATTAATTAAAAAAAATTGACATACATGTACCAATGTGCAGGGAGGCACTTGTGATTTGGTAGTCCCACTCTTTAACCTCCGAAATTGTTTTTTGGCTCCAGCAAAATTCAATAACCCTTAGTTTTTCCACTGGATTAATAGAAAAAAATGGAGGTAAAATGCTGTTTGGCCAGTATCGTTTTAGTTACAATTTGGTTTATTTGCACAAATTAGCATTAAGGTCATCGCAGCTTCTGGATTAAAATGTTTAACAATTTTAATTTATTTCAATGTACCTACACAGTTTCCCAACTGTTTAGTTTATTAACCCTTACCCTACTAGACCCTCCAACGCATGCCAATATGTGCCTCAAGAAAATCTCCTATGTTTTTTGCATGGCCCTCCAATATCTGCCATGTCATTTCAAGGGTAACTGGACAGGCACTCCAATACATGCCACAGAGAACAATGAGAGTCCTCTGATAACAAAGTGAGTGCCCCCAGCTGGTCAGTATCAGACACCCTCCAGGGCCTCCAACTCCTGCCAATTGGAGCCTTCACTGTTAAATAAAACTATCTGCCAATAAACTGCAGCTGGAGGGCATTGGCATAACCAACTGACATGCAGTAAACTACCCTCAGAGAGTAAGGGTTAAAGTAATGTTTATGTGCTCTTTTCAGGGTTTGCAACATTTCTAATGTGACTTAAGGCATGATCCCTGGCTACATGGCATCAACCTATCCACGACTTCTGACTAGTGCCCCTTGGACAAACACAATTTTAAAATGAGGAACCGCCCATAGGGCTGGTCCGCGATAGCTCAGTTAGTAGAGTGTCAGTACAGTAATCTGCAGGTCATAGGTTCAAACTCTACTTTATCAAGTTCTTTGTTCAACTTTTTAACTGTTATGTGAGATTCAAATGTAGGATCAAGGATATTTTTTAGTCCTCTCAAGGTAGACTGAACAGGGAAGTGTTTGTGCAAATCTAAGAGTATTATGCATTCGAGCATTGACTCTGTCTTTGGTAAGATCAATGCTGCACAAACTGGCATATTATTCCATGATTCTTAACAAATGTCATTAAATATGCGAACAACATAAAATACACTTACCTGAATTGAAGTTAGTTTTAGAAAGAAATATTTAGATTTATCCTCCTGAAAGATGACGCAGCTAGTTTACACAGTTTGATGTGAATGCAATACGCTGTACATGAACATGAATGTTAAACTATCATTACACACAGTGCGTAAATTCCCAGTTCTATTTTAAGAAGCTATTGGAGTCCGTGTGTATACATGTACTGTACCGGATACTTTCTGCTCACATCCGGTGCAGGTTTCCTGTGTATAAATATCAGTCAGTGTTTCCATGACCCCGGTGACCCCACAAAAATAGAATCAAGAGACAAATGCTATTTGTGCAGTGAGCAGCCCTGGTGATTTTCAAATTTCAGCCTGAAAATAATGTTTTAGTGTTAATTTAGTTTTGTTCTACAGCAATCTATTTGCTCACTTGGGTTGAAAAACAAATGGAGAATTTTTTTCTTTAAATTCCTGTTGAATAAAATATATTTTGTTTAATATATTTTTTTCCATTGCATTTCGCCACCACCCAAAAAAGAGGGGAAATAAATAGTAAAAAAATTTTGTGGTAAAATAGGTTGCTATTTAAAAAAATAGGACGCCATTTAAATAAAAATAGTATCCAAACAAGGGTTACAACTTAATATACACGTACATGTAAAGCATAGAAATCCATATGGCAGATGATCTCTCATGTTGGAAATGTGCACACATGGCGGTAATGCACAGTCATTTGCCTACATTTGATAAATGAGCATTTTTTAGCAGTCCTTTACATACATGAAATAAGCAAAAAATACAACTGAATAAATTTTAGAAAGGATAATTGAAATAAAATAGACGAAAAATAGTATGCAGTTTGAAAAATAGATTTTTTTACCAATTATCTAGCAGGAAAAAAGGGTAAAAACCTAATTTAAATAGAAATTAAATAGGATTTTGCCAGATTAACATCCAGATTCCTGCAAGAGTTAAATGAAGAAATCTGATGGGTTTATATATCTCCATCAACATCTGAAATACTGGACCTCTTCCATCGTGAGCTACACCTGAATGCACGCAAAATTTCCTAAGAAGTTGTATTTTCTGAATTTGAAATCTAGATGGATTTTGTTCACTTTATTTTTGCTATGGATGCTGAAAATATTGAAAGTGTTGAGGTTTTAATAAAAAACAGGGCTAACCTTATCGGACATCTGACATAAGCTAGTGGGTTTGGTGAGGTCTCAATCAGCGTGCAGGTTGAGTTTACACAATCGGTTGTTTCATCTGCATGCTTGTTTATGACACCACTCCAGACTGAATGTGGTCCCTGTACAAGATCCCTACATGAAGTTACCAAGGAGGAGGATTTTATCCAACAGAGGAATGACAAGGAGATTCTGATCCAGGAAAATGTTAAATTAGTCTTTGCCACTGTCAGCAGCAGCCTGATAATGTTGGCTAAATGTTTAAACATTCGAACAACATGAAATATGTACAAAACTGTTTACAAAAATTAACACGGATGACTATTTTTACAGTATTTTACCAGTGAAATTTGATGTTGTATTCTCCCCTCCCTTTCCCCAGGTCCTAGGCCCATGACCATGACGATTCTAGCTCCTGGGGTTCTGACACCAACATCCCCTCTAGAAGGACCAAGACCACATGGTCAGCGACGCTGAGATGTGACACATGACGCCCACCAGACCGGCTAAGGTTGGTGCTTATTGGGTCAGTCACTACCGAACACCATTACCACACTGCAAAAACAGATAGACAAGCAAGACCCTGTGGAGGAATTCAAGGTGACTTTGGAGTAAAAGTTTGGCTCAGTGATATTTGGAGAACTCACAAATTTGAAAGTCTCCAAAAATAGCATGAATTTCGGTAGTGTACATAATTTCAAGTGAGGTTATGAGATCTTCCCATTTTCGTAACTGCAAAGCCGAATGTATCAGAATACAAGGGCTTTATTTCAACCTATTGTTACCGACAACAAACCAAATTTTGCACTCGATCAGCAATAGCTAAATGTATTACCAGACAGTTTTGTCAAAAATGTTTCGTTGAGTCAGTGATATGTGACTCACCAGTGACATGCCCCCGATGTCAAGTCTGAGTCACGAGTTGAGTCATGAGAGCCGAGTTTGAGTCATCATCCATTGTAACTTGAAGTTAAGTCTGAGAATTTGCAGCACAAGTCAAACTCAAGTCCGAGTCACAGACTCAGTTCTATATTTCTGCCATACTGGTGTATGGCTATGTTGTCCGTGCACTTACTGAAGAATGAATATGCAAACGATTAAATCAGCCAAAGATAACTTGATTTGTAATTGAATTCCGAGCTAGAGAGAGAAAAAGCAATGTAATTTGTTCACTTTGAAATGTAGGTGCTTTATGATTTGTCAGTGGCAGTCAACTGTGAGGAAGCCAAGAAACCTGTCTGCAAAAATAAGAACAGATTCCCCAATGTACTTCCATGTACAGGTAAGTTAATTTGTAGAAATTACTAAGTGTTGCCTAAAGAGTGGCCTCTTGAGGCAAACGCTTGTTGCGCCCACCCACTGCATTGTGAATTGTTCTCAACTGTAGGCGGGATGGGTGCTAAGGTAGTCTATGTAATATCCCCTTGTAAAGTAAGGATCTATGATATCCGAGAGATTCGTCGATTATTATGCAAAACAAGACTGCGTCTAATTGACCTCGAGACCATTCAGCAGGCGCCTTCTATATTGGTTCTTAAACCCGTTGTCATGTACATCTAGTAAAACCTAGACACGACATCTATTATGCTTTTACGTTGTGAATTATGTTAGCAAATTAGGCTGTGTCACATGGGCTGTAACGATATGTTACGTGATGCTAAGGATGTGATGTTTACGTGTTCAATTAACGAAAACAATTACAAATCCGTTTGCCTATTTTCCAAAACATGTAGAATCAAACCTGAAATATGAAAAAAATAACCTTCATTTATGCAAGCTGCCTTTGACTTGTACATATATATATTTATTTCACAAATTAACAATGTTTTTAATCTCATTCAATCTACAAAGTATTAGAAGAACCGCACAACTTGATTACACTCTGGGTAGTTGAGTTTGTACAAATGTATGTTTTCAATAGCTGCCCGCTATAATCTTTTGGACCAATCATACACAATATAAACACTTTACTGTTTAGATGTTTTCAATGTCCCAGTGTTCCCCCTAAAATACTGTAAATCTGAGTGTGTCTTGACCTTTTCCACACAAGAAAACGCCGATGACATTCCATTTTCTTTGTATCCATCTTTTCAATAGAAACTACTATTCCAAAGTCTTTAAAAAAACAAAAGCCCATGAAAAATAAAATTATCCTTTTACTTTAATACAAAAACCTTCCAACCCTAGTTATGCCGCTGGTACCTTAAGAAAGTTCCAGATGCTGATTGGTAAAATAAGAGAGTTTAGATCATTGCTGAAATGCCATTGTTGTCATGGAAGCTGTGCTCTCTTGGAGAGATATTCTGTAATTAAAGCAAATGCTCATTGCTTCATTTAGACTACTTGGTCTATCAGCATTTAGCAAACCAATACTTATTCAAAGAATCAAAAGCCTCAATCCTTTATGGAATAAACTAAACTATTATTGTACTGATACGGAACCTCTCACAAGTAGGTCATTCTATACATTTAGGGCCCAAAGTCGGACATTTTTCCTGTCCCTGCAACCTCCAAAATTTATCATTTGCCATTCAAGTGCCATTGAAAATGACTTCAAACTAATTAATATTTGTTGAGTAGGTAGCATTCTTGGAGGAAAGAGTACACACATAAAGGAGTGCATCTTCAATTACAAAATCGTACATGTCAGACGTATAGGGACGGGAAAAAGTGGACCCCAAATTCATATAATGTTCCAAATGCATCTTATATTGTAGTATTTAAAAAAATCACATTTAAGAAGGGCGAAAAAAGAGAATAAAATTCAGTTTACAAATGTACATCCATCATACTAACCACATTTACAAACATCCATGTATCATTTCAGTAGAATGCACAAGGTTTTCATTTCCAACTTGGTTGTCAATGTAATGAAACTAATATCAATTTGATGAGACACTCAGAAAGCACTGTGAAAGAGACAACCAAGGGATTGCATGTAACTTACTATTCAACTCTCGCTTATAGTTCAAAATCACACACATTTCATTCAGTTGCTTTTGAGTATTTATTCTGGTTTTTGTACGCGGAGTTGGAAAATCTGTCTCATTCAAAAGTAAGTTGCATTAATTTAAACTCAACAATTTTCCCAATGTAATTGAAGAATCGAATAACAAAATTTAAATAATGTTTACATTTTACGCAGTAGCAGGGTTATATCTTATACTTGGAAAACACATCATACATTTACTTTGTATTTGCTGAGATGAATCTGAGAAAATTGAATTGCCTCTTGTGGTAATACTTTGCCTCTCGTTTGTTATATTTTTAAAATGTGCACTCATCCCTATTTGAAAACATAGTGAAGGTTCATTCGTTTGCTCTCATTATTGGGCCACCAGATCTAGGATTTCATAGGAAGTAGGCTGGGTGTTGAAGTCCAAGATTGTCCAAAGGGGAAGTGGTTGAGGTATGAGAGTCAACACATACAGAGACCAAAGACCTTAGCAATAAACCAAATATACAGTATTGTAGAATGTTGTTTAGGGAATGAACTTTAAAGTTCTTTGTCAGTGATAACAATGCTCGATGTCTGATGGAAGTGGTTGGTGGATACACTGGATAGCCCCAGTTGAATTAATCTGTCCTTACACTCGGTGATAGACCTTTACAGAATCTCCTGCAGCCACTACCAGCTCACCACCTGATGTAAATGTCATGCCACGTGGATCATCACATCCCTTGATCACACATCCAATGTACTTGCCATCAGGACTGTAATGCAGAATGTCACCTGTTGGATATCCATACACAACAACATAGATGCTGCCATCACTGTCACAGCACACACCATCAGGGTGCCAATTACCCCCCTGTATGTTGCTGGTCATGTCTACTGAGAATACACTGGCACCATAGTAGTCTACACATACCAACCTTTTCTTGCCATAGTTTGTGTAGATAAGGCAGTGATTGTACATTGTCAGATAACCTCCAATCATTGGAGCAGGCAGTCTCCTGATGAGGGATCCATCTGGGTTGTGTAGAGATATCTCCTTCTTTTCTTTATAACCCACTGCTATCAGATTGCTGTCATCCACTGCAAGGCATGTTGGTTGGCTGTCTGACCCTCTACCTGGTGTGAACTGATGGAGGAGCTGATGTTGCTTGTTGAAGACCTTGACTACTTGACCATCTACAGCAAGGAGCTTGTCATCCCTGCTCACTGCAATACACCTTACATCATCAGTGAGGCCACTGATTTGTAGCCTTTGTGGGATAGGAGATGGTGTATGTTGACCATTGGGCATTGAAACTGTGAATAGTGCACTGATTCCAAAAAATCTACGGAGTGCAAGTATTTCATTGTTGGAGAGAGCTGAAACGAGCAATTTACATGAAAATATTGAATCAATTATCAATCCAATTTTTTTGAATTCAGTCTTCAATTTCCATTTCTCCTTAACACATGATCTTGCAGGTCTTGGTGATTGCTTTGCTGCAGCCTTTGGTTCTTCCTCCAGAATGAGTCTCCCAAGTGACCTCTCACCATCTTCAAAGTCCATGAAGGTCAACTTGTCAGGAACTTGCTGTGGCTGTTTCCCTGTCAATTCACTGAGGTTATGCAATAGCTTCTGTTGAAGTTCAAGAATCTCATAGCAACTTGCTTGATTCATGAGTTGTTTGACCTCCTCCAGCTTGTGCTCTGTCTGGATCACATCTTTGCTGTTATTGGCTTGAGCTGCATCAAATGTTGTTACTCTTTTTTGATAAATCCTGTCAGTCTCTTTCAACAGTTTCTGCTCCTCCTGTCGGATCTTGGCAACCTCTTGGTTAGCTTTCTCTGTGATTTTCTTTTTGGTGTTTGCAAACATGGTATTCAGTTTCTTGCGAGATTTGCAAGTCTTCTCAATGGTGTTGTTCAGTTTTGTTTTACTCTTACCAACTCTTGCAACAAGTTCTTTAACTTTTTTCTGACATTTCTCAAAAGCCACAGGTAGTCCAATGAGGGAGTGTTTTGCATGGTCAAGTACCGAGCAAGGTGTACATATGACTTGTTGGCATGTGTTGCAGTAGACATTGAGATTCTGATCTGGATGATTACCACATTGTGGAATGTCTTCTCTTAGTTTACTCTTGTAGACAATCTCTCCTGATCGAAGTTGAGCCAGTGTGTAGATTTTATGAGATTTCATGAAAGTCATACGTTTATGAGCCTTTTGACATTCTTGACAGAGGAAATGATCACAGTCCATGCATCTTGAAATAGCCTGATTCTCCTCATCACAATTTTGACATTTGATGTCTGACCCTTGACCTTCCAGTAGCTTTTCCTGCATTGTAACTTCCTCGACCAGGGCACTGAATGCAAAGTTATTAGGGAGATCAGCAACCCCAGACCCTTTCAACATGGTTTCACGTCTGCACAGAGGACATGTCAGCTTTGTGCCACTAGGATCTTGGCTCTGTCTGAGCTCTTGAAGGCATTGCAGGCAAAAACTATGCAAACAGTCCAGCAGTTTGGGTTGCCTGAAACGGTTGGTACAGAAGGAGCATTCCAGATGATTCACACTAATCTTCTCCAACACTGATTGCACTGTAACATTGGATGCCATCTTCACTGTTTGGGCTTGATGTGATAGGAGTAGACAGACCTTTAACCTGAAAATGAAGCACATTAATTGAAAGCTTTAGGATTTACACGTATTCAAACTTCAAATGATGATATGGTTGTAATAAGCATTCATAGGTTACAAAACTGCACCTGCGCAAACCGGTAAAATCAAACTTGATAGTGAAATTCTAACTCATGTTTCTTCTCAAAAATCCTCTCGGGCACAAACTTCACAAAGAAAATGTTTATTCTTGAACTAAGAAATATAAAGAGAAAAATATACAGAAGTCGTCCGATCTTGAACGGGTTGCGATCAGGATAAACGTGCAATATCCGCGTCACCGGGCAAAGTTTTGTTCCGTATTGCTACATTGTAGCCACGGAAGTTGCCAATGTGCCTGCTGTATTTCTAGAAAAACGCAGACATTGTGTGGATGGAGAAACTTTTAATAGAGAAACTGACGGTTTTCAGGCTGTGTAGTGATATTGTAAATGGTCAATTTCATACTCTAATCTTTTTCAACAATGCTAATTGCTTTATATCATGTTGGTGGAAATATCAAATTAAAAATTGGCTAAACATTGTATAATTTGTTTTTTTCAATTGGCAAAGAATTTTTTTTTAAAATCAGTGGATCTGTAATCCAAAATGTAAAAAAAAGTGGCCTAAAGTGTTAGTTGTTTACGTATGATGAACTGAAAAATAGGACTTATCCATTGATAGCATGGTTGGTACATGTAGGTTCATATGCATGAATTCAAGTTTCTGCATTGCGTGCTTTCATGAACTTCTTCGGACTGGTTTAACACACTGCTCATGGTGCATCAGAGAAGGAAACTGATGTACAAATTGGTAGTCAAATGTCTGCACAGTTTCCTATGCCAATTGTGGTTACATTTGTCAAGCTTATTCTCAACTAAACATACCTGAATGATGTCAGAAGATATTTCTGCAATCAATTTGGCTGTTTGATGAAGAAACTGGTGGACTATTTGGTGGATTCACTCTCTGGATTGACTGGAATGTCTGTAGGGTGTGGCATTGCTCACTGCCTGTAAATTCCCAATTCTATAAATACACCAGACTGCAATGGATCACAGGTCACACAGTTGAACTTGTATTGCCTACATGTAGTCAACAGGTATTGTTATTTTGTGAACCCTTTCAAAGGCCCAGTTTCTGGTAACAATAGATTTACCAAAGGCCTTTTCCAGTCACTGTGTTACACTGAAGCGGAAATATGAATTTAACACATAGGCCTATGTAATATGTTGAACTGTATAGGCCTACATGTAGATGTTTGTACATTTGGATGCAATTTCTGTAGCAAAGGGAATATATGCCAATGTATGCATGCCACTCACTAGATTACAATACAACATATAGCACATTAAAAGTTGGTTATTCCTGTCAGTCCCATTTGGAAATCTTTAAACCCAAATACAGCATTGTATGGTATCTTATACACGTAATATTCATTTTCACATTTCTAAAGGAATTTTCATTATTATTTGAGGACTGTAGACAGTGTCTATACTGTGCATGAATAATTACAATTCAGAAATTTGATATGGGATCGCAGTATGAGATATTTGTGATGGCTTTAGTTAAGTTTTAGAAAAATGCTTTTAAAGTAACATATTTTCCCAAAGAAGCGTTGTTTCTTTTGGTGTCGACCTTGCAAAGAAAACAAAAACATGTAAATAATCCTTTTAAAGATTTCTCGGATCGAAAGTGCATGAGTTCATTATGGGTAATGCGTGTACTGCACATGGACTGCAAAATGCAGCCTGTGCCCCAGTGTGTAATGTGTTGGCCATGCATGTACATAGCACCCGAGGCCAAATGCAGCCCTTGGGTGTTAAAAACGTCATATCCCACACAGTGGCGTATCCAGCATTTGATGTCAGGGGGCAACCGCACTGCACATCCCCGAACACTTGGCCTCGGGGGGGGGGGGGGGGGGGGGGGGGGCGGGGGTGCTCTTCAAAACTGACTATTTTTATGTATACTGGAAAATATATGCCGATTTTCACAGCTCAATGTAATGGTTTCGGAGCTTGGTTTCTTTTTTTTTTCCTGTCAGAACTCTCTAACAATTTATGGAAATAGTTACTGAAAAAATATCTTTCAAAAAAGCTGCTCGGGGCAGGGGACAAGGTGCCCCCCCCATTCCCTCCCCTCCCCTGCCCCCTCCCCTCCCCTCTGGATACACCTCTGATCCCACATCACATTGGTCAACAATTGTCAATTGTAATTGAAGTCCGAGCTAGAAAGAGAAAAAGTATTGTAACATGTGTTGTCAATTTGTTTACTTTAAACTTCAGGTGCTAAATGAAATGTCAGTGGCAGTCAACTGTGAGGAAGCCAAGAAACCTGTCTGCAAAAACAAGAACAGATTCCCCAATGTACTTCCATGTACAGGTAAGTTCATTTTGTAGAAGTTAGTATACTTTTCAAAAGACTGTTCAGTTGGAAAGTGGCCTCTTGAGGCAAACACCTGTCGGCACACTCACCCTGCATTGTGAATTGTTCTAAATTGTAGGATTAATGGGTGCTAAGGTAGTTTATATAATATTTCCTTGCACAGCAAGAGAGATCTGGTGATTATTATGCAAAACAAGACTGCTCTTGACCTCGAGATTCTGACCATTCATCAGTGGGTACCTTCTATATCGGGTCTTTGGTTTTGTCATGTACATCTAATAACACGACTATACTTTTATGTTATAAATTGTGTTAACAAAAACAGCCTGTGTCAAAACGTTCTGTGACTTTTAAATGATCATCACATAATATTTGAAATAACGCTCGTAATGTGAATGCCCACTTGTGCATGTTAACAGTATTAAAACCCAATGTCGGGTTTTATTGGATCTCTATGTCCGTTGCTGTATTACAAAAATATGGCATCAAAATTGACCAATGAACAGCTACGTCCAGATTTGAGAATGAAATGATGTCATGTTGACTCATGGCTGGCGCGCGGGGTTGCATTAATTTGCATATGCATAGACATATCAGACGTTAGGCCAGAGACAGAGAGGGTGATACAACGGGTGATACTCAGACTAGTGTTCTGGGTTCATTCCTACAAAACCATTTTGAATTTCACTTTATTCAGAAAAGAGTGGACTGCAACATTAGGCAATTAAATGGGGTTGATACCATTCAAACCTTTATTGGTTCGTAACTAGTTTTAATTGTTAATATGTAAGGGACTGCTAAACCTGATATGATGTTTAACTTCCATATTTCTGTGTACCTTTTAAAGGTGTAACTATGAGGCACGTGTCTCCCCCCTCCCCCACTCCATTTGAAATCTTGAATTGCACACAACAAATGTATATGTTACCTTCCTTGGCCCCCCCCCTTTCAAAAAAAATTGATGAACCCCCAGGTGCCCCCTAGAAGCTTAACCCTAGTTACGCCGCTGTACCTTTAGAAAGTTCCAGATCACGTACGTTTCACTCCCATAGAGTGTGTGATATTCATAATTTATCTATACTTGCAGCGGGAACTTGACTGCGCCCTCAGCAACCATACTATGTCGGCCCTGGCATCCAGGGGCTTCCTCTTGTTAGATGTCAGGTGTCTTGTTAACTGTTTGACATGCGTAATGTAAAGAAATCTTTACTTTAAACATTTTGTTTGTATTAAGCATGCCCTAAAAATGCTATTGTTAGCAATTCCTTTCGGGGAAAAATTCCAAGGGGTGGTTTTTCCCCATTGTCACAAGTGATTGCTAAGGTACCAAAAATTTCTGAGTTTGGCTTGTTCATGACATTTGAAGTTTTCACGGGCAATAAAATACTTAACGTGAAACCCCACAAGGCAATCTTTAACATACAATAGATTTCTTTTGGCTACATTTTTTTGTTTTGATAAAAATGAGCACTTTTAAAAGCCGACTAAACGGTATTTTTTTAGCGGATTTCTTTTTTGCTCGCAATACGTGGTACTAGATATCAACAAACCTGACTAGTTTTCTAAGTTACATACTCAATATATTTTGAGAGCATAAAGTGGTCAATCAGGAGATAAAAAAATCAAGATAAAATGTGTTCACAAATCTGATTACTTGATAATCCCCTCTACCAATATGTACAAGTATAAATGTTGGGAAACCTCTGAAATTATGTTTTTGTCGAAGACAAAATGACCCTAAATGTAAGCAAACAACATCTGAGAAAAGATGGTTGTTTCATGAAATCACTGTTGAGCTATGTTCTCAGAAAACGTTTTTAAAAATTTCGACAAAATATACAGTGAATAAACTAACTAGTGATACAATAACAACGGCTTCCAAATTAAGTGGTCTATAAATGATAAAATACAAAGACATCTTTTTGAGTCGCATCATCGGTGTAAAACAGGCAGCCCTCATTATGTATGCAAATAACCCTAGGAGTCACACATGCCCAGTGGAAAATGCAGCTGAAACGTTTGTGAGATGCTGATTAGTAAAATAACAGACTTTCTTTATATTTATCCACATTTTAGCAAGTGTGCAATTGGTGTTTTACATTACACTCAACGGCACTGCGCTTGCATAGTTTATCTAAGTTATATACATCATAACTAAAGTTGTTATTTCTTTCAGTGATTCGGCATCAGTGCTTCTTTACAAAATTTCCAAAACTCACATTTTTAAAGCTTTCTCTTTTATCAATAAGCTACATGCATCCCAATTATTAAGTTCACGCAGCAGTAAATTTAAATATTCATTCATATTTTTTGCCTTCCGTAGGCTGATTGGTCCATTGCTGAGATGAATGATGAGATTAGAGAGATCAAGCCACGCCTACCTCTACACATCACAGACTGATAAACAGGTAACACAACATCAATATGTGGTGTCAGTCTATTTGAATCTGTATATGGTTGCTCAAGATGGGCTTGGCAATGATGCCAGTTTTCAGGATATAGCCTGAAGTCAAGCTTTTTTCTTATTTCAGAAAAAGGAATTCAGGCATTCCTTCCCTTCACAGGCCACAAATAAAAATCATCAACGCTGTGCTATAGCTAAATACGTGATTGTATGAATTGTAAGTTCAAAGAAGACATACATATATGTATGCATGTGATTGTGTGGTATTGCAGTGTGTTTACAATGTGTTGCCATTCCTTTGTTATTGTTCAACTCCTGTTACCTGTGACTGAACTTGTATTGTGATTTACTAATAAAAGGACATGTGATCTTGCTTGTAATCTTGCTTGTAATTGAGGGTCGAGTTGAAGCCTTGGGCTTAATGACCCATTGAATCTTGGTCAGAACTAACTGATACATTGTAGATCTGAGCTTAAAGAGGGCATGTGGTTGCAGAATAGAAATAACACAAAAGAATAGCACTTGATGATATGATAAATGATTAATATTTTGGAGTGAATTGCACTTGTGGAATTTCCAAACATTATTGAGATTTGCTATTAAAAGAACTATGGACTTGTGATGGACTTGACTACATTATAGATTGTAATTCAGCATATATTGGTTCCCATTTTCTTTTCTTTCTGTAATTTTTTTCCCCTCCTGAATTGACCAAGGGAGTTTCCCTTGATTTCTGACATCTCCGAACAATACGAAATAAATTTCCTATTCAATGTGAAGAATTTCAAGAATACCACCAGACATTATCTGGCACAACTATTCTTTATAACAATGTTTTATTTGAGGGTGCTCAGGGATAAATGACATGCTTACTCAGGTTGTAATTTAACCCATGACCTCCTGCTATTACAGTATAAAATGAAATAGCAGAAAATATAAGTCCACTTTTGTTTCACCCCATGTTTCAAAATAAAACAACTACAAAATGAATAGACTACATAGTTTAATTCTACAAAACTTTCAACACCTGCCAACAGCTTTGTTAATAACTTATGATGTTTCTTTGATTTTTTTTTTATATTGCTCTGATATTTTAGGATTTCATTCACAAGCTGGTAGTGCATGAGATCCGTGTCTCGTGGACAAGGTTCAACAGAGATGCGGTGCTTGGACTCTATGACACCTACAACAAGTCACAGGTAAACAGTGCCATTCAGCGTGCAGGTCTAAACAATGTGGCTTGTGTTAGAAATCAAAAAGTTCTCATTGGTAACTTATTAGTATTTGAAAAAAATGTCATTTTTTTCCTACAGCTAGTCGGCGGACCGTTGTAAATTGATAAAAAATACCACTCGTCTTGAAATGACAGTCTAGTAAGGTGTTTCATAATAATTTGGTAGTTTTGGTTTTTGATGTTTGCAAATGTTGTCTGTTCCTTTAAGGCTTCGTGCACATTGCAGGGACGGTGGTACTCCTAAGATGTAACAAATTTTCAATTTCCCAACGCTAATTCCATGTTGTTAAATAAGTTTTCTCTGTCTTGCTTTTGATATGATCAGTTGAGCTAGAGAACAGCCAAGTCATGCTGAAAGGCTGCAAAGCATCAAGCTGTGTCATATCGTCTGCACGTCTAGTGCCCAGATCATGCAGTGTTCCCACTTACCACTGCTGCCTGGAGGGAAGGTCGCCTGACTAAGAAGACCAGCTGGGTGGGCAAGCTGGATGGACTGCAGGTTAGAAGACTTTGAGCTCATCAATTAGAAGTGTTGCCCTTACTTCCATTGCTTTGTGCATCTCATGCAGCTTACTGTATATAGTGGATTGTTTGGATAGTTTCTAAATTGGATGACTCCTAAATTATTGGCTGTTTCGGCAACTTGCTGAAACAGCCATTTTTTTTGTTATTTTTGGTGTGATGGCTGAACACTACATGTAAGTTGTTTGTTGTGTCACATTCCGAGCAATCATATATCAGACATGTCAGATTGCAGGTTTTTTGGGGAGGTATAATGAAAAGTTTGGGGCCCAAACGCGCAAAAGATCAATGTGTGTGAGACAGCTCCACAGCTTGCCCAATTGACCTTGCGGTTTGCATACCACATGCAATACGCTGGACACGTGCACTCACACAACTGACCTCTGCAAGAAATCCAGTCATTGGGGGAAAACTTTGACGAAAAAAATGATCAGTGGTGTCTTAACCAATGAAATCGAGTCTTACATGAATGGAAAGAGAACTTCGTCCTCTTTACAAAACCGCTACCCCCAGTGTGCTGTGACATTGGGTCCTAATGAGATACGTTGAGATAAACAACCAAAGGTCTGTCACAAACGGTCATGTTCTGTTCCGCTCCATTGGCAATTGCCTCACCCCCCACATTTTCAATAAAAAATGATCAGTGGTTTTTCTGCCATTCCAAGCCAGATATAGATAGACTTGAAGCCATTAGAATGAATTTTCATAATCTGCAACCCCCAGATTTGTGCGACCACCTGTTCTGAAGATACAAGGAATTTAGTTTCAAAATGGGCTACCGGTATCTTTGTGGTCATTTCCCCACGTTAAAGCTTGTGTGGACATTTCCTGTTGAGCAGAAGCACGCTACTTTTCATTATGAAAACTGGGGATAACACTTGTCTCCTGACGACAGACAGAGTATGCTGTCCAAAACGTTGAGTTAAAACCGGTTCTTCTCAGAACCACCACACACTCACAAAAGAGATTAATTTCACATGGTGCCACCTCAAACTTACCTTGCTGTTATCCTCACCATGCAAACTTCATTCTTATCTACGATGTAACAATACAATTGTTGACTGCTGTGATGTGGGATATGCCGTTTTGAACCCCCTCGGGGTGCATAGCACCAGAGGTGAAATGCACACCTAGGGTGTTGTCATATCCCACATCTCACTAGTCAACAATTGTTAATTGTAACTGAAGTCTGACTAGAAAGAGTTAAATTAATGAAGTATATGTGTTGTCAATTTGTTCACTTTGAAATGTAGGTGCTATATGAAATGTCAGTGGCAGTCAACTGTGAGGAAGCCAAGAAACCTGTCTGCAAAAACAAGAACAGATTCCCCAATGTACTTCCATGTACAGGTAAGTTCATTTTCTAGAAGTGAGTATAAGTTTCAATAGACCGTCAAGTTGAAAAGTGGCCTCTTGAAGCAAACACTTGTCGGCACACTCGCACTGTATTGTGGATTATTCTTAATTGTAGGGAGATGGGTGCTAAGGTAGTCCATGGAATATCCTCGTGCATAGCAAGGGTCTATGATATGCGAGCAGATTCGGCAAGTAATTAATGCAAAACAAGACTGTGTCTTGATCTCAATATTCTGACCATTCAGCGGGCGACTTCTATATCGGGTCTAATTCGGTAACCCGTTGTCATGTACATCTAATAAAACCTAGACACGACAGATATTATGCTTTTACGTTGTAAATTATGTTAGCAAAAATAGCCTACGTCAAGCGGACTGTATCGATACGTTACGCGATGCCCAAACATCCTGCGACTTTGATTTATCATCATGTAGTATTTTGAATAACAGACGTAATGAGAATGCCCTCTTGTGCATTCAAGTTTCACCCACGGTCAGCGTTCCTGTATATTAACAGTTTTGAAAGCCAATGTCAGGTTTTATTAGATCTCTATGTCCGTTGTTGTATTACAAAAACATGGCATCAAAATTGACCAATCAACAGCTAAGTCCAGATTTCAGAATGAAATGATGTCATGTCGATTCCAATTGGCTGGCGCATGGGGTCGCATACATTTGCATGTGTAGATATATCAGACGTTGGACCAGAGACAGAGAGGGTGATACAATGGGTGATACTCAGACTAGTGTTAAGGCTTCATTCCTACAAAACAATTTTGTATTTCAATTTATAAAACAAAGAGTGGACTGCAACATTATGCAATTAAAGGGGGTTGATACCATCCAAATATTTTATTGGTTCGTAACTAGTTTTAATTGTAAATATGTAAGGGACTGTTAAACCTGATATGATGTTAGAATTCCATATTTCTGTGTACCTTTCAAAGGTGTAACTATGGGGCATGTGTCTCTCTTCCCCCCCCCCCAACTCCATTTGAAATCTTGAATTGCTCACAACAAATGTATATGTTACCTTCCTTGCCCCCCCCCCCCTTTAAAAAAAAAATGGTGAACCCCCAGGTGCCCCCTAGAAGCTTAACTCTAGTTACGCCGTTGGTACCTTTAGAAAGTTCCAGATCACGTACATTTTACTCCCATAGAATGTGTGATATTTATAAGTTATCTATAGGTGTGGTGGGTACTTGACTGCACCCTCGGCAACCATACGATATCAGTTCTTCCACTTGTTAGATGTCAAGTTTAAATGTTTTTACACCCGTAATTTAAAGAAATATCTACTTTAAATACTTTTTTTGGTATAAGCATGCCCTAAAAATGTTATTGCTAGAAATTCATTCAATTCCACGTTGTGATTTTTCCCTTGTAAAGTGGTTGCTAAGGTGCCAACAAATTTTGATCATTCATGTGTCACTTTTTTGCTGAGGATTTCTAGACATTTGAATTTTTCACAGGACAAAATACTGAACATTAAACCCCATGAGGCGATCTTTAACATACAAAAGATTTGTTTTTGCTACATTTTTTTGTTTTGATAAAAAAGAACAATTTTCAAAGCTGACTAAAAAGTGTTGTTGTACTTGTAGTGTATGGGTTTTTTGCTCATGATACGTGGTACTAGACCTCAACAAGCCTGACTAATTTTAAGATCATAGTTACATACTCAATATATTTTGAGAGCATGTTAACAATATTCAAATGTGGTTAATCAGGAGATCAAAAATCAAAGAGAAAATGTGTTCACAAATCTGATTACTTGATGATCCTCTCTACCATTTTGTACAAGTATATATGTTGGGGAAACCACTGGTCTTTGCTGAAATGCCATTGTTGTCATGGAAGCTGCATTCTCTTGGAGACATATTCTGTAATTAAAGCAAATGCTCATTGCTTCATTTAGACTACTTGGTCAATCAGCATGTAGCAAACCAATACTTACTCAAAGAAGCAAAAGCCTCAATCATTTATGGAATAAACTAAACTATTATTGTAATGATACGGAACCTCTCACAAGTAGGTCATTCTATACATTTAGGGTCCAAAGTCGGACATTTTTCCTGTCCCTGTTACCTCTGAAATTTATCATTTGCCATTCAAGTGGCATTTGATTCACAGAAGCATTCTTAGAGGAAGAGTACACACATAAAGGAGTGCATCTTCTATTACAAAATCGTAGATGCCAGACGTATAGGGACAGGAAAAAGTGAACCCCAAATTCATAGAGTGTTCCAATGCATCTTGAATTGTAGTATTCAAAAAATCAAATTTAAGAATGGCAAAGAAGAATTATTTCAATTTACAAATGTACATTCATCATACTAACCACATTTACAAACATCCATGTATCATTGCAGTAGAATGCACAAGGTTTTCATTTTCAACATGGTTGTAAATGTAATGAAACTAATATTAATTGGATGAGGCACTCAGAAAGCACTGTGAAAGAGACAACCAAGTGATTACATATGATTTACTTTTTAAACTATTGCTGGAGTTCAAAATCACACATATTTCATTCAGTTGCTCTCGTGTAATGTACTTGTCTCATGTACACAGAGGTGCCAAATCTTTCTCATTCGAACATACATGTAAGTTGCATTCATCTAAACACAACAAGTTCCCCAAAAATTGAAAAATCGAATAACAATATTAAGGAAATGTTTACATTTTAACAGGAGCAGGGTTATATCTTTTACTTGGAAAGCACATCATGCATTGACTTTGCATTTGCTGACATGAATTTGAGAAAATTGAATTTCCCTGTCGAATACCTTCCATCTTCTTGGTAATACTTTCCCTCTTGTTTGTTATCATTTTTAAAATGTGCACTCTGCCCTATTTGCAAACAATGTGAAGGGTCATTCCTTTTCTCTCATTATTGGACCACCAGATCTAGGATTTTATAGGAAATAGGCTGGATGTTAAAGTCCAAGATTTTCAAAAATGGAAATGGTAATTGGGTATTGGAGTCAACACATACAGAGACCAAAGACCTTAGAAATATACCAAATATACAGTATTGTAGAATGTTATTTGAAGGGAATGAACTTTAAAGTTCTTTTTCAGTGATAACAAAGTTCAATGGCTGATGGAAGTGGTTGGTGGATACACTGGATAGCCCCAGTTTAATTAATCTGTCCTTACACTAGGTGATAGACCTTTACAGAATGTCCTACAGCAACTACCAGATCACCATTTGGTGTGAATGTGATGCCACGTAGAGGACCAGATCCCTTGATCGCACATCCAATGTACTTGCCATCAGGACTGTAATGCAGAATATTACTCGGTGGATGTCCATACACAGCAACATAGATGCTGCCGTCACTGTCACAGCACACAACAGTAGGGCACCACCCCCCCTGCTTGTTGCTGGTCATGTCTACTGAGAATACACTGGCACCATAGTAGTCTACACATACCAACCTTTTGGTCATGCCTGTTGTGTAGATAAGGCGGTGATTGTACATTGTCAGATAATATCCAATCATTGGAGCAGACAGTCTCCTGATGAGGGATCCGTCTGGGTTGTGTAGAGATATCTCCTTCTTGCCTTCATAACCCACTGCTATCAGATTGCTGTCATCCACTGCAAGGCATGTTGGTTTGTATGACCCTCTACCTGGTGTGAACTGATGGAGGAGCTGATGTTGCTTGTTGAAGACCTTGACTACTCGACCATCTAGAGCAAGGAGCTTGTCATCCTTGCTCACTGCGATACACCTTATAGCATTAGTAAGGCCATTGATTTGTAGCCTTTGTGGGATAAGAGATTGTTCAAGGTGACTATTGGGAATTGAAGCTGTAAATAGTGCACAACTGTGTCCAGAATATGTATTTTTAAAAAGTACAATTATTTTATTGCCAGAGAGTGCTGCAACATCTGCTATCAATGCATTTGTTAATTGCAAGTTCTTGACTTCGGTCTTCAGATCCCATTTCTCCTTTACACATGATCTTGCAGGTCTTGGTGATTGCTTAGCTGCAGCCTGTGGCTCTTCTTCCAGAATGAGTCTCCCAAGTGACCTCTCATCATCTTCATAGTCCATGAAGCTCAATTTATCAGGAACTTGCTGTGGCTGTTTCCCTGTCAATTCAGTGAGGTTATGGAAGAGCTTCTGCTGAAGTTCAAGAATCTCACAGCAACTTGCTTGATTCATGAGTTGTTTGACCTCCTCCAGCTTGTGCTCTGTCTGTGTCACCTCTTTCCTGTTGGTAGCTTGAGCAGCTTCAAATGTTGCAACTCTTTCCTGATAAATCCTGTCAGTCTCTTTTAACAGTTTCTGCTCCTCCTGTCGGATCTTGGCAACCTCTTGGTCAGCTTTTTCTGAGATTTTCTTTTTGGTGTTTGCAAACATGATGTCGAGTTTCTTGCGAGATATGCAAGTCTTCTCTATGGTGGTGCTTAGTTCTGTTTTGCTTTTACCAACTTTTGCAACAAGTTCTTCTATTTTTGTCTTACATTTCTCAAAAGCCTCAGGTAAGCCAATAAAAGAATGTTTTGGTTTTTCATGATCTAGAACAGTACACATGAGACATATGACTTGCTCACATGTATTACAGTAGACATTGAGATTCTGATCTGGATGCTTGCCACATTTGGGAACTTCATCTCTTAGTTTACTCTTGTAGACAATCTCTCCTGATCGAAGTTCAGCCAGTGTATAAATTTTGTGAGATTTCATAACAGTCATACGCCCATGAGCCTTTTGACATTCTTGACAGAGGAAATGATCACAGTCTGCGCATCTTGAAATAGCCTGATTCTCCTCATCACAGTTTTGACATTTGATGTCTGACCCTTGACCTTCCAGTAGCTTTTCCTGCATTGTAACTTCCTCCACCAGGGCACTGAATGCAAAGTTATTAGGGAGATCAGCAACCCCAGACACTTTCAACATGGTTTCACGTCTGCACAGAGGACATGTCAGCTTTGTACCACTAGGATCTTGGCTCTGTCTCAGATCGTGGAGGCATTGCAGGCAAAAACTATGCAAACAGTCCAGCAGTTTGGGCTGCCTGAAACGGTTGGTGCAGATGGAGCATTCCAGATGATCCACACTAATCTTCTCCAACACTGATTGCACTGTAACAATAGATGCCATCTTCACTGTTGGGCTTGGTGCGATAGGATGGACCTTTAACCTGAAAATGAAGCACATTAAGTAAAAGGTTTTGGAATAACACATATTTCAACCTCAAATGATAATTTGGTTGAAATAAGTTAGATGTAGCCTATAGTTGAAAACTTTTTGTCAAGTAGAATGTTCATAAAATTAAAGGTTTATTCACATACTATATGCTTGATTTAAACCTGATGTTAGGTTTCCAAAAGAAAAACAAATGTATAATAGGGTTACCTTGTTAATATAAGAGCACATTTTATCCTGAAAAATGCAATATTAAAGAATTCTTTTCAGCTGTTATAGGACATTTTCTGCATCTCAAGTATGTTGTTATAAAGTTCATTACAAGTCAAACAAAAGTAGGTCACAAGTAAACAGTTTTCAATGGCAAACAATTGCCGACGGTTGCGCGGAATTTTAAAAAAGGGCACTCGTAAATGGCCGCTGGTAACCAAAATGGCACTGCTCATGTATACAAAAGGTCAGTCTTACTGTTTAATACTCAGGTGGGACTCGAACCCAGTACCTCCTGTTTAGTGCAAACGTCTTATCACTCAACCTCTGAGCTTGCCTGGGTCAGCTGGGTGGTTCGAGTGGAGGTGGACAGGAGTCTGCAACCAAATATTGTCTGTGCCCAAAAATATATATATTTAAGTACTTAAACTGGCCTAGATTTAAAAATGTAGACTTATTTAAAAAGTTCACCTTCTTTAAGAAAAGTGCACTAATTTCCTCAAAAAATAAACTTATACCTTCACATAGTTGGGTTTTTTTGGGGGGGGTTATTTTATTATTATTTTGTGATTCACTAAGCAACACCTTTGCCGAATCTTCTGCTTGAAAAGCTCTAACATGCATTTTTTAAGACTGCATCTAAGTACAAACAATGCCTGTCACTTATTTCTGTCATGAATACAAAGAGATTCATGTATTCCACATGTCTGTATTCTAACAGGTTTGATTGATCCACCTGAATTTCCAGTTCATACGTATACACTTGTAATAGGCAAATACAGAGTTTACATGTACATGTACTTCATATGAGATAATGTGATGCTGTTGATTTATATCAGATGTACAGACAGACTTACAGGTAGACCCACTAAATAAAAATCTTACCTTCAGGTACACATGAGATGAGCCACTGCTATCTTCCCATTTTGATGTCACTTACGGCAATGGTTGAAATGAACAAAGATGGCGTTCGACTGTTTGTATACGCCCCTCTGTATCAACACGGACCATGTCACATGATTTTGAGTTCAGTTATTTGCAGTCCCTGGATTCCACTTATGTAGCGCTTTGGTACGTGCTGTACAAGTAAAATCAAACACAGCATGCGACTGTTTTCTACATCTAATAGATCCAAAGGTCTATATGCTGTTAATATTAACAATTTGAAAGACAAGTTTATTAGAATAGTAAACATAAAGAAGCCGAATGAAGCTGAATTTCATCGCAAATGACATTTACTTTGCTCTCATGTCGCAAGTCAGGAAACTCAAGTTTGTAGTATAGACAAAAGTAAACTAATAAGGAAGAGGTACATGAAATGAACCGACAATGATAGTTTTGGAATCTAGTTTTGTTTTGTTGGTTGTTTTTTGTTTAATTTCTTTATATTTATTCACATTTTAGCAAGTGTGCAATTGGTGTTTTACATTACACTCAACGGCACTGCGCTTGCATAGTTTATCTATGTTATCATAATTCATCATAACTAAAATTGTTATTTCTTACAGTGATTCGGCATCAGTGCTTCGTTACCAAATTTCCAAAACTCACATTTTTAATGCTTTCTCTTTTATCAATAAGCTACATGCATCCCAATTATTAAGTTCACGCAGCAGTAAATTTAAATATTTATTCATATTTTTTGCCTTCCGTAGGCTGATTGGTCCATTGCTGAGATGAATGATGAGATTAGAGAGATCAAGCCACGCCTACCTCTACACATCACAGACTGATGAACAGGTAACACAACATCAATATGTGGTGTCAGTCTATTTGAAATCTGTATATGGTTGCTCAAGATGGGCAGGGCGTTCATGCCAGTTTTCAGGATATAGCCTGAAGTCAGGCTTTTTGCTTATTTTGGAAAAACAAACTCAGGCATTCTGTCCCTTCACAGGCCAGGAAAAAAATCATCAACGCCATGCTGTAGCTCGATACTTGATTGCATGAATTATAAGTTCAAAGTAGACATACATATCATGTACACATGTGTGGTATTGCAATGTGTTTACAATGTGTTGGCATTCCTTTGTTATTGTTCAACCCCTGTTACCTGTGACTGAACTTGTAAAGGGACTTGTGATTTACTAATAAAAGGACATGTGATCTTGCTTGTAATCTTGCTTGTAATTGAGGGTCGAGTTGAAGCCTTGGGCTTATATGACCCATCGAATCTTGGTCAGAACTAATCTGATCTGAGCTTAAACTTTTAAAGAGGGCATGTGGTTGCAGAATAGAAATAACACAAACGAATAGCACTGGATGAGATATAATCAATGATAAATATCTTGGAGTGAGTTTGCACTTGTGGAACTTCCAAACATTATTGAGATTTGCTTAAAAAAGAACTTGTTCCCATTTTCTCGTCATCCTCCATTTTTTCTCTCTCTATATACACAATATAAACAGTTTACTGTTTAGATGTTTTCAATGCCCCAGTGTTCCCCCTAAACTACTGTAAATCTGAGTGTGTCTTGGCCTTTTCAACACAAGAAAACGCCGATGACATTCCATTTTCATTGTTTGCACCTTTTCAATAGAAAGTACTACCGGTATTCCAAAGTCTATGAAAAATGATATTATCCTCGTACTTACAAAAACCTTCCATCCCTAGTTGTGCCGCTGGTACCTTTAGAAAGTTGCAGATGCTGATTGGTAAAATAACAGACTTTGGATCTTTGCTGAAATGCCATTGTTGTCATGGAAGCTGGGTTCTCTTGGAGAGATATTCTGTAATTGAAGCAAATGCTCATTGCTTCATTTTGACTCTTTGGTCTATCAATTTCACTATACCAGTTTTGATCATGTTTTGATCGAACTAATACATTTGTATCAGAAAAAAAATATTGACACCCCTATTCCTATAAATGTAACTGTTTGTTAATGATGTCATAGACTAAGCCAGCAGTACACACTTCAGACGTCAAATTTTTGGATATCTACTTTATTAACATTTGCTGAAAGAATGAAGGGGACACATGGTTATGCCAGTCTAAGTTACATAGAAGTGAAGACAAAATAGTTTTGCTTTTAAATCGTGAATAAGGGACCAGTGACTTATGCATTAAAATATATGCATGATGCTATCAAGCTACATGAGTCCGTTGTCGACCCTGGTCACATTTTTTTTTTAATACAGATTTGAAAAGAGCACAATCTCAGCATTACTGCTGTGAAAATCGCATGCTGATCCATCTTTAGATCAAAAATTATGGAAGTTGGAACATCAAGAGATGTGACCAAGAGATGGGATGAAGTGGTCCTATTTTTTCCTGTATCTCCCAATAAAAATTCCCTACAAACGACTCATTTAGCTTGATCGCATCGCAAATGGTGATGGATGATTATTTCTTAGAAACAACAAATGATATGCACATACGAAAACCATTGTCTTTCAAACTGTATGAAATTAGCAAACTCTTCTGAAGTTTTTGGAAAACAAAAACTTTATCAAGAATAACCTTTACGCTGTTAAATTAGCAAAACTAACTAAAGTCTCTTAAGTCATGAAGATGGCTGTTCTATTTCACTAAAAAAAATAGAGCAGCAAAAAATGTACCACAAAAAGTAGTATATACAGTATGCTTGAGCTACTTCCATTTCTCTCTATAAACATTCTAAGCTTCTTTGTAAATTGAGATGGGTCCCTTTGATTGGCCGAGCCAAATGCCAAAATTTAACTAGCCTTGGATCCAAGTTGAAATTTAGAATACCAACAGGATTCTAAGACAATGAATGATTTCCCTTGATTTCAGAAATTGCCAAAAAAGTTGTTTTAGCTTTAAATTAATAGATACAAAATGTGCAAGGTTTGCTGCACCTTTTTTAATGAAATTGCTTACTGTAAGGCAATTTAGTCACATTACTTTCTTCACCTAGATCCAAATTGAATAAGTATTTACATTTGGTAGAAACGTAATAACAAACAAGTAAAATGATAATGATATTAGCAAGCTCTAAGAATACAAACATTCACCCAAATTGATATGCATAAACTTTTAACACACTGTTGCATCTAAAGCAGTTCTGCAGAATTTTTAAATTGCCTGGCCGACCAAAAAAAAAAGTGTTTTGTGAGTAAACACAATCCTAAACACTTTCTTGCTATCAGTTTGTAAATATGTTTACATGCTAAACATTTTAGCATGAGGTTATAGCAAGAAAGCATTTCAAACTGTGCTAACTCGCTTAAGACATTTTTTGGTAGGCCAGGCAAATATCCACACAGAGACAGTTATGTTACCTTTGTCACAATGCCTAAAAGTGAAATGTTGGTCCCACGGTCAATTTGACCTCTCTTCCAAATTACTCATAACTCTGTCAAAAATTGGACATTTTATGTCTCATTTTAAAGTGTAAAGGCGTATCTTTCAAATCATAACAGTATTATCTATGTTGGTTATACATTCTACATCTGGTATATTTTGGTTGCATTTATTTTGATACACACTGTACTTTTCTCCCCTAAAATTGAAAAATATAACTGATGCAATAGCCCATTAGTTAAATAGCCCAGCAGTTGTCTCATTTTCATAAAAAGTATGTTAAATCAGGAGACATAAAAGATGTTCATCACTTCTTCAAAACGGAAATGTTACTTGATCACACATACATGTACACACATTGTGTTTGTACACAGATTTGTCGTGTGCACGAGTACAAAAGTTATACACTTTCAAAGGCAGATTTGTAACTTTATCAAAATGCAAATTGTACATGCTTCATACATTTAAATATTGTACACGTGTAAAATCAATGAGACTAAGTGACAAATAGAGATTTGTCACTTCGTCAAAAACGAAAATAAAATTAAGTTGTCACACATTCACCTTGTGTAATTAGGCTTTAAAATTATGAACAATACAATTGTGTGTCTCAAAATTTTTGAATTATGTAGAGTTGTATCATAAAATGTTAGAAAATCAAAACATCTGAAATTCCTTACAA